GTTCCTCAAACCTGAATAATGAAGAGACCCCTGAGGATACACTTATGGAATCCCAGTATGAGAAACACTGATTTAAGAAACTCAAGTCTTTCAGTTAGGAAATGTCACCGCAAAAAAGAAACTTGGCAATTATAACTGGTAAAAGAAATATTTAAAAACCCCAAATTTAAAAGTTATCATAGATCTTGTGACCAATCCCCCCCTCCCCCCCTGCCAAATACCCTATAGAGCTCAATGTTAGAAACACTGGACCAGCTATCAAGTGTGCTTCCTTTTAAAAATGCACATTCCAGGGTCCACCTTAGAACCTGCCTCAGACTTTTTCTAAAGCTCCCTACGGATTCTGATGCCCAGGAAGGTTGGGAACTGCTGGATCATGTTAGAACAGGTTCAAGTATAGAACCACTCCACTCTGAATCTCCTAGCTCAAAGACAGCCAGGATTTTTGCCTGTTTTGTTCACTGCTTTATCACCTAATATAGATACTGGCACACAATAGGGACTCACTATTTGTTCAGTGAATGAATGAACTGGGAATCTGACAACAAAGAGGGCATTCAGTCAATAAATATTCAGTAAGCACCTACTATCTGCCAAACCACTGATATGTATAGTAATATATTTTTAAGTAAAACTAATAAAGTCCTTGCCCTCAGGTAGGGCCCCTGCAGTCTACTGGGAGAGACAGACAATAAACAAGTAAATAAACCAATATAAAATTATAAATTGTGATAAGCACAAAAGTATTATTATTAAAGTCAAATCTTTAATAATAATTACAGTTGATGTTCATTGTGTACTCTTACTATATACCAAACACTGGTAATAGGTACCATTATTGTGCTTATTTTGCAGATGATGAAACTGAGGCACACAGCGATTAAGTAGCTCAACCCATGGTCACAGGCAGAGTTTGAACCCAGGTGTTCTCACTTCAAAGCCTATGCTCTTGAACTCTACACAGTATTGCTTCTGACAAAGAAGAGGAGGTAAGATTGAGGCCAGTTTATATGTGGTCTGAAATATCAGGAGGAAAACTGGATATTACCTCCTAGGTCATGGAGATTTGGGGGCAGGGAGGAGATGTGGTGACAAGGGCGTTTTAGAATAATCTCTGCAATGTGAAGGCTATTGGGACACGATTGGAGATGAGGAGACAAGGGATGAGGCTAGGATGAGAGGGGTGGCTGTCACCTCTCTAATAAATATAAACAAAAAGTTAGTTTTCCTCGAGTCCATCCCAATAATCAGTTACTGAAATTCATTTCTTATGTATGCCCTTACTTAGAATAAGGAAGCTATACAAATAGAAAAACATTCAAAAAGTACAAAAGGACATATAATAAAAATGAAGTCCATCCTACCAGTTCCCTAGCTCCTGGTAAACCTCTCTCCTCCACCAAGGTGACTACTGTTACAAGTTCCTTATATCTTTCCAGAGATGCATACACAAACGCACATACACATATAAATAAATAAACCTACAAATAGCAGCAAACTATACACACTGTTTTGTACCTTTTTTTTTTTAACTTAACTATAGTTCTTTGAGATCATTCAATGTCAGCATATTTAGGACCATCTAAATTTTGTTAACAAATTGCATTCCATTCCTTTGTATGGATGTAGCATATATTTTTTAAACAAGTCCTCTAGTGATGGACATTTAATTTGTTTCCATCTTTTTTTGATTATAAACAAAATAGCAATGAATATCCTTGTAGTTTTGTTATTTGCATGTGAACAAATGTGCCTACAGGGAAATTTCCTAGAAATGCAATTGCTGGTTCAAAAGTCATGTACATTTTAAATATTGTTATGTTGCCATTTATTTCTTAACACAACTGTCTACATAGCCTCAGCTTATGCATCAAATGGAAAGTTTTATCTCACTATGGGCTTTGCTCTTATATTCCCATCACATATTGTTACCAAACTCAAACACATGTTCGTTTACCTGCCACATAGTAGGTCCAATAAAGAAAAAAACTGAGGGGCCGGCCCCGTGGCTTAGAGGTTAAGTGCTCGTGCTCCGCTGCTGGTGGCCAGGGTTCGGATCCTGGGCATGAAGCGATGTACCGCTTCTCCAGCCATGCTGAGGCCGCGTCCCACATACAGCAACTAGAAGGATGTACAGCTATGCCATACAACTATCTACTGGGGCTTTGGGGGAAAATAAATAAATAAATAAATAAAATTAAATACCACATTGAAAGTTTGAAAATATTATTTAAAAAAAAAGAAAAAAACTGAAACACCAGGCTTTTGGCAACAAAAGAGGTTTACTATTATCGAAAGGCAGCCAGACGAGATGGGAGTTAGAGCTCAGATCCACCTCCTCAAAGGGAAAAGTTAGGGGTTTTTATGTGGGGTTTTAGGTAGGGGAGGGGGAGCGTGTGCTGGGGTTTCAGGTTGGGGAGGGAGACCATATGGCTGTGGTGTTTGGCGCCTTCCCACCAGCCTGTATTTGGGCTTGAAGACTGAATTTCTTTTCCCTTGACTGTCTGGACTTTTGTGGTTAGTTTTCATCTTCAGCCTGTTTGGCCTTGTGAGGCTGAATCTTGATGTCTGGACCTTGACTTCTGGGAAAGACAGCTCACTCATATACTAAGGAGGGACAGAAAGACCTAGTTAGTTTTAAACAACAGTTGATTATGCTGAATACATACAGCTGCAGTTAGCAAAGCTTATCAAAGGTTTTGTTCTCTTCTAGCTCAGGGAAGATTTTTTAACCTCTTCATGCTTGGTTTCAATATGAGGGTGTTTATGTGTTGTATCAAAGGTGCCTGCAATCAGAAGTGCAAGTCTCTAAGCCCCAAACATGAATGGTGTATCAAATATATTTCACAAGAGAGAAGCTCATGCTTTAGGGTCTCTGCCAATACCTGTATATGCTACTGCCTCCACTTTTTGGGCTTTCCCCCTCGAGGAAGAAACTGCCACCACTTCCTTAATTTGACAGCTTATTTGGTCCCATCCTCTCATTTTACATGAGGAAGGGACTTGCCCAAGGTCACAAGGGGCCTGTGATTAACTAGGGCTGGCCTCCTGATTGTTCATTTGGCAGAGCAAAAGCTGTTTCCTTTGCAGCATCCTGAAGTGATCTCCAAGATCTCTATCTTTCTGGTCTCCTAGAAAATTCAGGCCCAGGAATGCCCAACTCATTCCTTTGTTAAGGCTCAGAGCCAAATATAACCAAATTGTAAGAAACTATCTCCCTCTGCTGGCAGCACTCTGTAACTACAAAGCCTAAAACTACAAGGAGTTGCATCTATGAAAAACGAATCCCTCCTCCAGAGTGGGACTTAGGTGATGTCTGATAGACAGTTTCATCCATCATGCTGTCACCAAGGCTCAGTCAGGATAATTCACTTAAAAGAATGGTTCACAGGAGAATGTATTCAAAGTAAATATAGTTTCAGAGAGTGAATAAGACAAAATCCTTTATCTTTGAAGATGGTCAGGCTGTTAACAGAATTAGTTGTATTTTAGGCATAGAGAATTTGGGCTGCTAGTGTAATATCCACGTGGAGATGCCAATAAGAAGCTTAACTGTAAGAATCGGAAACATCAGGTTAGTTCAGGGCTGGAAGTCAAATTTAGGAGTCTTTAGTGTACATTGGGTAGCTTATACCATGAGCATCTAGGTAAGAACTGTGGACTGAGGATAGACCCAGAGACAAATGATATTTCAGAGACAGGAAGTCATGAAACCAGAGAATTAGTAAGCACCTCACTTTAATTTCTAAATAAAGACTAGTAACATTTAACACGTGACTGCAATTTATAATAATAATAATAATCATTAGTAATAAAATTGCAAAATTTCACAACAGGAAGCTGTTACTTCAGAAAGATTGACATGCTCAAAACATGAGAAAAAATACATTCCAATGCAGATAACTTGATTATAGCAGCCAAATGCAACACTACTGAATGGCATGTTTTTAATACTGAGAGGCGTACAGGAACATGTCAGTGAGAATAAAAACACATGGTGTTTGCTTTTTCCCCTGCTTCTGTGTTTTGGGAAAGAAAGGATGACTAGCAAGGTGAGAATTATAAATCTTCTTAAGGCAGGCAAGTCACCTCCATAATGATAATAACTAACCTTTAGAACTCTTACTCTGGGTCAAACGCTGTTGTAAGCTTTTCAGCATAGTAACTCGTTTAAGCCTTACAATCTACCTTGGCAGCAGCTACTATTATTATTATTATTTTTTACACTTGGGGAAACTGAGGCACAGAACCCTCAAGCAACTTGCATAAGATCATACAGCTTGTTCAAGTTGGAAGTGTCTGAAGTTGAACTTTTAAGTCCAAGGTCTCCTTTTCTATACTGGAGAAAAATAAAACAGGAACATTGTTTAGGAAGAGGCATAAATAAGTTTTTAAGGTAATGGTAACAATGTATTCATCCGTCATTAAAGACTCAGGAGAACTTTAGTAGTTCTGGTTGTCCGGCTCAGGTGCGATATCATCAACTAACAGTAACGTTTTTACCTCACGGTAGAGGATATAAAGTAGTGTTAATAGATGCTTGGAATACTGCCTTATTAACAGGAAATACTGTAATCATTTTCACCCTATCAGATAGAAATAATAAAATGTTTTATGAATCAGCAGATATTTTTCATCTTTGTTGAAGTATAAAAATGTTTTCAGAATTTTGAAAAAAAGTTATCTGCAGTTTATGAAAACTACGACTCACTTTAAAAAAGAAATGTTTTCAGTAATTGTCTGCCCTTAGAAAAGATGGCTCCAAAGAGCACACATGCCGTACTCAAGACGATGACTTCATCTGCACTCCCCTTCAGTACAAGAGAGAACACGTTGCCCTTAAGAAAAATGGCAACTTTCTGATTTCTCTGCCCTCTTCCAAGATGGCTTCCTCGTTGATCTCGGGGCCCTAGCCTGGTGCCTCTTCCGGGCTTGGCAGGGGGCGGGGTCCATTGAGCAAAGCCTTGCGTGCCGGCGCCCGCGACGGAGGAGCTCTTCAGGGCGCAGGCGCGGGGAGAGGGTGGGGGAGGAGGGAAAGCGGCGAGTAAGATGGAAGATGAGGAGGTCGCTGAGAGCTGGGAGGAGGCGGCAGACAGCGGGGTAAGGAGGAGCCGCCGCCCCGGGGCAGGGCCGGGCGGGACCTGGCGTGAGGGAAGCCTCCGGGGAGCGGGTCTGGGGATGGTTCTCCCTAAGGAACGGCCCCACACGCCGTGCCGGGGGTGGAGGAGAGGCCCCCGGTCCCTGAGCGCCGTGAAGGCCTCTTAAAGGGGCCGCGTTCCATTTCTCCCCCCACCTTTGCCCGGTGCGCCTCCCTCCACCCCCCCCGATGAGCGCGTCACCCCGGGCGCCCCAGCCGCCTCCGAAGGCCTCTTCTCCTGGCCCCCGCGCCCACTCGCTCGCCCCGGGCCCCTTTGACCTTTCCTTTCCCGTCGGGCCCCCCCGCCCGAGGCACCATTTTAAAGTTCATGTACTCTGATGAGGGGCTACACACCATGTGGGGGGTGCGCGGGCCGGGGCGGCATGCCTGGCTCCGGGGCAGAGCGGGAGGAGGCAGCGGAGAGCAGGAGGGGAAATAGAGTCAGTCGTCTCCGGGCCCCTCAACCCTGCTAAAATCCCCACCGCTTTGCGCCATCCGCCACGGTGGGCGGGTCTGGGTTTTTTTTTTCTTTCAGTTTTACTGAGAGCCCGTTGCAGGCGGGTCTCCCGGAGATCCCGCCAGAACAACCGAAAGCCCAGCGGGCAGCCCCTCGCCCCGGGTACCCACCCAACGGTCTCAGCCCCGGGGGAGGGTCTCGGGGGTGCTCGCCGGGACCGAGGGGGAGGGGTGCGATATGTACAGTAGACGCATTTCTAGGAGGGGACCGTTCGACTTTGCTTTTGGAGGTTTGTTTTTCTCCAGCAGCTGTAGGAAAATAGTTTATCCCAAGCCGGAACAGCCAATTCTGTTAAGTTCGTGATTAATTTGGTCTTTTCAGAGTTTGTGGTTCTGTGGTGACCCTTGTGAAGATGGGGAGATGTCTTTCTGGCCTCCCCGCATTCGTGTCTGTTCAGTGCTGGCTCGAGTGACATCCACTGTAAAGGCTTCTGTGTTGAGAGTAGGGCTTGGAGAGCCGAGAGTACCAGGGTAGAACAGGAGCTGGGTTTTTCTTCCCCAAGCGCCTTGAGGGTGCTTTTCCGCGCTGGAAGAGGCCGGGAAGTTGACCCTCGCAGCAGTGGTGTATCTCTACGGGAGTATTGTGATTTGGCTTCGAAGTTTTTTCCAGTGGTTCAGCATTTCTCTCACGGTGTTTATGTTTTTCCACTTAGCGTAATTGAGGATTGGAAGAACCAATTCGAGTTCAGTAGGTATTTAATACAGTTCTTACGTGCCGACTATCTTGGATTTTGGCTTGAGTATGGAGTGAGATTTAAAGATTTTATAGGGAGCAACAGGTGTCAGCCAGGTATTTATTTATTCCACAAACATTGAGTGTCTGCTGTGTGCTAGGCAGCGTGCTCAGCAGTGACTTTGTGCCAGAGAATGCAGCATTTCCGGTAGAGGCGTTTATTGCCTACCACTAATGTGAGTGAATCATTCAGACACCCCTCATGGCACCCCTGCAAAAAACCTTGGCCTACAATTTGTGACTCAAATGATAAGTTTCTTGAGCATCTTGGCCTTTCTTTGTTTTTTGTCACGTGTTTCGAAGGGACATGAGTTTCTCATGTTAAGAAAGTAAGAAGAAAATGAAAAGAACAAAAATTAATGTAGGATTCAAAAATTGGGGATTACTTGAGTTTTTCAGAATGGGTAAATTGCTCAGCCATCAGCTAGCCCAGTCCTGCCTTTTATAGCTGAATACACTCCAGAGATGTAAGATTTAACTTAGATCTTTCTGATGCTTGTCCACTATTTTTCCTACCATCCTTTACTTGAGTAAAATCCTTTAAAAGTGCCAAGTCCAGAGATGGAACTCAAACCTTGCCTCATTGACATAATGAGCAGTAACTGCCAGAATGCAAGTTCCTGTATGCATCTTTTATTTAATTGAACTATTGAAATAACCTGTAGAGGTATTAGCCTCTTTCCTTAAGCAAGGAAACAGGTTTAGGGAGTAACCTGTCTTGCTCAAGGCCATGCAGATAGTTAAGTGGGAAGCTGGGATTTGACCCCAAGTCTGTTTGACTCCAAAGCTGGGTTCTTTGTCTAGCATTTTGTTGCCTCCCTACCTAGGGACCTGTGGCAGACTTGGGAGTGGGCATTAACTTTCATTTTTAGTATGTTTGCTTTAGGCTTATATTTGAAGGCTCTCTTGAATTTGATTCCCTTTTCAAATTTCACGAAGGGTGAACTGTGTAAATGTAGGGTGAAGTGTAAATGTGCACTTTCGAAGGAGGGGAGCCCGGGAGGGGATGAAGCACCATGTCCCCATCACTGGGAAACCAACTGACTATACATGTCTTTCAGATGTAGCCAGTTGCATATGTAAAAGTCTTAGCTTCAGGTTACCCTGTCTCCCTACTGATATATGGTAATGAGTGTTAAATCCATCCCCCCTTGGGGAAAAAAAACCTGGATGGCAAGAAGACTAGCAAATGGGGATTAACTAGTTCTTAAAGTGAACATTCAAACTTTATGTAATCCGGAGGCAGTTCTGATCCTTGAAAGTAGAGGCTTTTGGTGATCTCTGTCCTCCAACACCACAAAAAAAAATTGACATCACACTAGAATTTCTTAGTCAGTACATCTGAGGTCATTGTTTCCTGCTTATCTTCAGAATACTCAATATCGAGTCCTATTGTGTCATTCAGGGGAAGACTGAGAAACAACCCTAATGTTCTATAAGTAGGTTGTTTTTTGCTTTTAGTTAGTATGGTGAACACCTGTCTAATATAAAATTGTTCTGTTAACCTGTTTCCTCCCAAGGAGTTACATCGCCAGTCAAAGAACAATTCAAGAAATATAACTTACATTCCACCCAGGAAATACTTCTTTAAAAATATACTGCCTTTGGGAGAAATGAAAATGTAAAATTGAGTTAATGTTGATTCAAACTCTAAGTTGTGTCCTTTGTCTTAAGCACATCTTAAGGGACAAATAGAGCATTTTGTAATTGGAAGACATCTTTGTGCTCCAAAAAAAATCAGATCAGAGCCAGCCCTGGTGGCCTAGTGGTTAAAGTTCAGTGCACTCTGCTTGGGCGGCCCAGGTTCAGTTCCTGGGCGCAGATCTATACCACCCATCTGTCAGTAGCCATGCTGTAGCAGCGGCTCACATAGAAGAACTAGAAGGACATACAACTAGAATATACAACTATGTACTGGGGCTTTGGGGAGAAAAAAGAAAAGAGAGAGTTGAAGGTTGGCAAAGATAGTAGCTTGGGGGGAATCTTTCCCAGCAAAAAAAAAAAAAAAAAAAGATCAGCATTTTGCTCAATATCTGATGGTTTGAAGCTTTATATCCACTTGTTTAAAGATTTTATTTATTCATTTTTTTCCCCCCAAAGCCCCAGTAGATAGTTGTATGTCATAGGGTCACATCCTTCTAGTTGCTGTATGTGGGACTCGGCCTCGCGTTGGACGGAGAAGTGGTGCCTTGGGGCACACCCGGGATCTGAACCCGGGCCGCCAGCATCAGAGCACGCGCACTTAACCACTAAGCCATGGAGCCGGCCCTATATCCACTTGTTTAGACCAAAGAAAAGATATGACATAGTCTGTCTCGTTGGTAATGGGCTAACCCAGTCCTAGGGGAAGGCAGATGGTACATAAATGGAATTGGACTGGTAGTTATTATAAAGTATAGGCAACCTTTCTAATTTCCTTACATCTCAAAAGTTGACTTTTATTCTTTTTCAAAAGGGCAAGTTGGGCCTGCCCGGTGGCATAGTGGTTAAGTTTGCGCACTCTGCTTTGGCGGCCCAGGGTTCATGGGTTCAGATCCTGGATGCGGACCTAACTCACGGCTCATCAAGCCATGCTATGGCAGCATCCTGTATACAAAATAGAAGAAGATGGGCATGGATGTTAGCTCAGAGCTAATCTTGCTCAGCAAAAAGAGGAGGATTGGCAATGAATGTTAGCTCGGAGCCAGCCTTCCTCACACCCACACACACACACAAAATTTTTTTACAAAGGGCAAGTCATGTAGCTAATGGCAAGTCATGTAGCTAAGAAAATGCGTCTTAAATGGTTTAAAGGATGGCTGGTCTTCTGGACTAAGAATTCAAATTTATATTTACTTTCTACCCTCATTGAGCCAGTCATTAAATGTTACCCCATCAGCAATGCTGGGTGGTGTATAAGTCTACAGGAAAGTGTCAGTAAACACTGAATACCAACTGTGTACCAGGCAGTGAGCACAGTTCAGTGGAGGAGTCAGACAGGTAAAGCAGCACTTTCCTTGGAAGAGGCGTAAACGGGGTACCATGGCTAGGACCAGAGACAGTCTTGTAGAGAAGGTTTTGTCTAAATTAAGGTTTTTTTGTGTGTGTGAGGAAGATCAGCCCTGAGCTAATATCCATGCCAGTCCCTCTTTTTGCTGAGGAAGACTGGCCCTGAGCTAACATCCGTGCCGATCTTCCTCCACTTTATGTGGGATACCTCCACAGCATGGCCTGACAAGCTGTGCGTTGGTGTGCGCCCGGGATCCGAACCCGGGCCACCAGCAGCGGAGTGCGCGCACTTAACCGCTATGCCACGGGGCTAGCCCCCTAAATTAAGTTTTGAAGCACCGGTCGAACTAAGCAGTGGTAAGTCTGGGAGGGGTGGGTAGAGTGTAGGGGCCATTGCACACACAGGCAAGAAGGCAGCGAGAGAAAAGCGTGCAGCTTTGGGAGAGCTTCAAGTATTTCCTTCTGGCTGGAGGTTAGGGGTTGGCAGGGCTGAGTGGAAAGAGATGAGGCCAGAGAGGTATGCAGGGGCCAGATTGGGAAGTGCCTCCTTGTGCGTGGTTTTGGGGAGCTTGGACTTTGTCCTGAAAGCAGAGGAGAGCTTTGAAGAATTTTTTTAGCAGAGTAGTGACATAGATTTTAATTTAACAGATAAGAACTTTGATTTACTTCTCTTTCGAGAAGAGGCCATTCTCCCTGAAGTGTGGCTGCAACCTCACTTTGGGGTCT